TCTAATTCTCTTTAAAAAAAAAAAAAATTACCATGCATTTTAAAAGCATAAATTATCATTATTATTACGATTGTTAATTTAATTTTTTTTTTTGAAAACATGCAAGTCAAACTCTAAATTATATAATAATTAATTTTTTTTTAAAAATTAAATAAATAAAAAAAAAAAATAATTGTAACAAGGCTCAAATCAAACAGGAAAAAAAATCAAAATCAAAAAAATTACATTTACATGAAAAAAAAAAAAATAAATAAATAAATAAAACGAAATTTAAATTATTGTGCATCTCAATTTAAAAAAAAGTAAAAAATAAACTTTTAAAATCGAATGAGTGCACAAAAAAAAAAAAAAAAAAAAAAAAAGTCAAAATAAAAATCACACAACATTGAAACGATTGAAAAGCTGCAATGGGAGCAGCCAACCTGAGCCAATGCGTTGTGTGTCGGACTAAATGTGATTTGAGCCTGGGCAGCAGCAATCACTTTTGTGTGCTGCAACTTGATGACTCCACTCGCCTTATCGTCGTCCTCGGAAAAGGCCGGAAGTAAATCTTCTCTACCGTGAAATTTGTAACAGTTGATTACAATCTGCCGCAAAGCATGAGTCCAAGAGATCTAATATGTGTGTCAGAAAAATCACAATTGCCATAATTACAAAAAAAAAAGGTAAAAAATAAAATAAACATTATATGTATTATAAACACGGCAAACCTTTTGCTTTTCTTCTTCCGATCTGGCATCCATTCTCACATTTGCCCAAGGTAACTCTTTCGGCCACCATGGAGGCCTGGTAGTTTCTCTACCCCAACCTGGTTTTCCACGACCTTTAAACAGGAAAAAAAAAAAAAAATTCAATTGCCATAATTTTTATCCATGCAAAATTCTTTTTCTTCAATACCTGTTGAATATTTTAGCATAAGTGGTATAAAAGCTCGCAATTGTGCTTGTGTCATTTTTTCAACGGGCGTAGGAATACCGTCTATGATGAGAGGAGGCAACTCGTATAAAGATGGATCATCTTGTACCGGAGGCGGTGCCTGCTGTGCCAAAGCAGTTTCAAGTTCTTCCATAATAACGGACCTTAAATTTTTTACCTGAAATAAAAATTTTCAATTAAAACATTTTGTTTTTTTAAAATCATCTTTCATTTAATTTTCAAAGATGACTTACAACATCTTCCAAAGGTTTGGCTCCGAAACATTTGAAACTTGTGTTGGGTTTTCCAGGGGTTGCAACCAACACGACGGCTTGTTGACCAACTCTTGTCGCAAATTCATCAATGGTTTGTCGTAACTTTCTAAGTAGTCTATTTTGTTGCCTTTTTCGAATCGATGGATTCGTTTCGAATGAATGCGGCCGTTTCCGCTTTTTGGCAGAACAAATCGCTGCGGCAGCAGCAACTCCGACTGGTCCTGTTTTTATAAAAAAGAAAAAAATTATTATTATTATTATTATTTTTTTTTAAATTTTATTTCCGTGCTAAATATTATAAATATATATCCTTTCGAAAATAATAAGCCGAAAAAAAAAAAAAAAACATTTTTTTTAAATTATGCGAGTAATACAAAAAAGCCATTGATTGACACAAAATTTCAAAAAAAATTGAAAATTAAAAAGGGTGAGGGGAATCCCCCTTCAAAATTAAATTTTTTTTTTCTTTCTTAAATTCTTTTGTTAATAATAATTACTTTTTAGAGAAATAAAATTATAGTTACCAATTTTTCTTATAGAATACTAAATCCTGTAAATATTATTGATATGTTAAAAAAAAAAAATTATAAATTTTATAAAAATTTTCTAATTCATCAAGTAAATATCATCATGCATAATAATAATAATAATAAGCAATGTGTAAATTAAATAATAATAATCAAAATTAAAAAATGGTTTTAAAAAAAATTTTGATAAAAATAGTAGCCAAAAAAAAAAAAAAAAAAACTAAAACTAAAAAGTTGTTTTACTAAATTATAAGACATTGTACTAAAAAACTAATTTTCTCTATTCAACTATAGAATTTATTTTTTTATTTATTTTTCTAAATTTAACTAATGCAAAATCAAAAAATATTAATTAATAAAAAGTGCAAAAACAAGAAAACACAAACGTTAAAAAAAACCTACAACTCTAATTTTATTAAACAAACAACAACAACATAATGAATTTATGAAATGAAAGCTATTTAAATAAATAAATAAATACAACTACTTATTAATTATTAATAAATAAAATAATTAATTATTGAATTTTATTATTATTATTATTATTATTATCGTAGCGTTTTGTCTTTAATCATTTTTTTTTTCTCTCAGTACGATATCCTACCTTTTTTTTTTTTCGCGTCAAGACAAATTTTTTTTTTTTTTTTTTTTTTTTTCTTGCTATAACAACAAGTATGTCAACGTACATAGTATCGGAAAACTGGGTTTTCCCAAAATTTTTCCATCTGAAGAATTTAAAAAAAAAAAAAAAAAAAAAAAAAAAAACCAAAAAAAGTTGAAAACTTGTTGGGAAAATTTAAAAAAAAAAAAAAATATTGAAACCCCCAAATCCTATCCTATCCCAAAAAATTGTTTTTCCCAATTGTGTGTGTGTGGGGGGGTGTGGGTGTGTGTGGGGGGGTGTGGGTGTGTGTGTGCGTGTTATTACATAAATACTTAAAAGATTTAGTGCAAAAAGAAATATGTATAAAATGTGTAGTAGCTAATAAAAAACAAAACAAAAAATGCAAGCAAAAAAAGCCTCTTATAACTAAATTGACAAAATAATTTGAAGAACCTTCCAGAGAGAGAAAGAGAGAGAGAGAGAAATTATTCCAATTAATTAAATTATCAAATTGAAATTGAAATTTGTTTTGGAAAAAAAAAAAATTAAATTGAAATTTTATAATTTTTTGATACTAAAGTAATAAATTTTTTTAAAATTTAAAATGAATTTGTTAGATTCTTCAAATTATTTATAATACAACTAAAGTTTTTTTTTTTTTGGGACTTCCAAAATGTATTGTCTAAAAAAAAAATCATCAATCATTTCCGGTTTGATGAATGAATGAATGTATCTTTTTCCAAGTTTTTAGTGACATACATTTTAGAACTACATATCTAATAAACTAACAAATAAAGCAAAAACAAAACATCACCATGAATAGTGTGCCAACCTGCCGCGGCGAGTTGGGCAGTAACCTCATCGCCCATGGCCACAGACATAAGATCACCGCTGTCTTCATAATGCATTGATCCTGGTGAACTCGGGCATCCATCTTCGTCGTCCGAATCGATCATGACGCTATGGCCAAGATCCCCGCTCATTATTGTCACCATGAGATAACACAACCTATAATTTTACCCTCGATAAAAGAATAAATTTAACAAAAAAAAAAAAAAAAAAAAACGCTTTTCCGAATTTAATTTTTATTGCCTTGTTGGAATTAAACCTAAAATAAATTTTTTTTTTTCACGAAGAAAATCTAAAGAAAATTTTCCGACTGGTTTATAACAAAAATTTTTTTTTATGATAATCATTATCAACCGTCCAAATAATTATCATATGCTCGGATTAAATTGTTTTTATTTTGTTTTTAATTACTTTTTTTTACTTTTTTTAAAAATTTGTTAGGGAAAATTCAAGTTGTGAGTAAATGCAAAAAAAAAATTTTCACCTAACAAACGGTTTTTCATATTGTTTGTTGTTGTTGTTGTTGTCTTCTTAAGGTAAAAATTTATAAGAAACATTCTAACCGAAATAAAATGACATTTTTTTTTTTTTTTTTTTTTACTTGTTAATACTCACCTTACAAAAGGTGAAACTTGATATAATAAATTAATTGCAGAACACTAAAACGAACGAATGAATGACTAGAATTAAAAAAAACTGTATTGGTCCTACTTGACTTACAGTCTACTTCGTTGCTTAATTACATTGTTAGAAGTTACATTAAAAATCTGAAACCAATAAAATAAATTAATAATTAATAAAAATAATTTGATTTTAAAAGGTTTTCTTTTTTTCGTCCCCCCCTCCCCCTCCCCTCTCCTCCTCCTTTAATAATTACATATTTGTAAATTATAAAAAAAAAAAAAAAAAAAAGAAAAATTTCTTTTTTAAAGGATGTGAAAACAATATTAAATCGAATTGGGGAGACCGTACAACACGTGCCTAACAAATATAGATTTTATCTAATTATATCTAACCATACCACCACCAAACAGCTGCTTGCCATCTTATTAGTCTCCCCCTAATTTTATGTTATCTAAATTATAATTTTTTAAAGCTTAATCCTATTAAATTTGTATAAGATACAATTTTTACAAATACCTTACGACAAAAAAATAATAATAATAATAATAATACATATAAGTAATAATAAAATTAAAATCATTTTCCTATAACACTGAATATTTTTTTTGGAAAATATTTAATTTTATAAGTATTTTATAATATATTTTATTGCCACGCTACAAGTATGGCAATAAAATATATGTTGCATCATATAAATTAATTATATAAATCATTAGAAAAAATCATTACCGATGTGAGTCCTAAAAAAAAAAAAAAAAAACAAAATTTCATTTTCGAATTATTTGTTAAAAAAATTAATTAAAGCCTTGAAGATCATTAAAATATTTAAATATTTTCCAACCTTGAAGTTTTCAACAGATTTTTAATTTAATTTTTTTTTTTTTTTTTTTTCAAAAAATTTCTCGCATGCTAATTAATATGTAAATATACATTTTTGATTCGAACTTATTTATTACTTATTATACATATGATATAAATTTGCATTAAGTACTATATTTAATATTGTGTGCATTACAAATTCATGCTGTACCTGAAATAAGAAATATAAATAAAATTTTCCAATGTAACATATTGAAATGAAATCGAACATTAATGTTGCACTATCATGGCTATTACAATTAGATAATTTTCTGAAAATTCAACTGTATAATAATCATTATAGATAATTGTATTAAAGTTAATGCATAATTGACTAAATTTTCATAATGTAAAAAAATAATGGTAAAAATTTAGGGGTTGTTTTACTTGAGGGTGGAGTTTACAAGAATATTGCCTGTGTCAAGCCTTCTTTGGCAAGAATTGTGAATTCCGCCAAAATCTATAGGGTGTTGAAATTTTCATATAATGAATATAATTTAATAAGAAAAAATATACTGCATTAGGGAAAGTGGAAAAGGTAGAATTTATTTTTAGATGTTAAATTAATAATACATTTCTACAAATTTGGAGTCGGTGTAATCAGAGCCGAAGTAAGTATTGGTCAAAAGTATAGTTTCAAAGACACATACATAGCGAATTGTAGGGATGATAATATGGCTTAGGGTAGGTTGAAAATTAAAGATTAGATTATGTTTCATTCAAGCAGTTATGTTTTAAAATAAAACAACAACAAGGATGGAAATAAATTGACGGCTTAAATTCTGAGCAAGCCCAGAGTGCCATAGGTCTACGGCTGCGTACGCACCTGCGTGAACGTCGGGCCATTTTGATGTAAAACTCCGTAAACAGCTCTCACTGCACTCTTTCACTCCCCTTGCAAGCATTTTTTAATAATAATAAACAATTTTGCACCATGTTTAGGCCGGAAATTGATGAGTTTTAATGCAAATGACTCTATACAACATTCTGTGGACAACATCCACAAAATATCGATCCATTACTTCCTTTGAGGGGACTAACATAGCATATTTTTGGGAAGCCATGATACTCGAGTCTGCGCAGTAAATAATAAGCAGACGATGTTAAATATCCAAATACTCTACTTACCGGAAAAAATAATATACAATTAAAATCAGTTTCTGCAGTCGTACATTTTAAAAGGCAATACTTTTTAAAAATTTAATTAAGATCAATCACGGGAAATAGCGTCATACATTCTTTGATATTCCACTTAATAATTCCGAGATTTTGATTGGCTGGTTAAAGAGACATCTACCGGTGGTTTTGCAATGGAAAAAATAGAAAACAACAGGAATTTTCGGTTGTTATTTTAGTGAAAATTATTTTACTTTGTCTTATTTAGAGAATGTGATTATTACAACCATGAAATTTCGGGTATTTATCTTTTAAATATGTTTTATACTTGTTTGTGGTTTTATTCTAACCGAATGAATAATCGAGAGATACCTTAGTTTCTTAAATCCTTTTCCTCAATCATG